CGGTAAACATAAGAAGCCATCTTCGCCCTTGTCTCGACTAACTTTACCCATCCTGGATCTGGACCCTTGCTGTTTGACCTCCCACAAGAGCCTTCTAAGAACTTTCTCTGGGTACCCATTTTGAACCAACAATGTCCAAATCTTGTCTATACTCGCCCTCTCTTTAGCACTGCTCGAAGAGTTCCTGATCGCTCGCCGAAACTGACTACGGACTATGTTTTGTTTAGTAGACTTCGGGTGGGCTGATTTATAGTGCAGGATGATCCCCGAGTTCGTAGGTTTTATGTAAAGTTCCGTTTCAATCTTCGTAACCTGGCCCTGGGTCACTACTGTCACTAAGGTATCTAGGAAGGCCACACCCGACTTTGTACCGGAATGCTCCATGGTAAAGCGGAGTGTCGGATGAAGCGAGTTTAAATGCGACAGAAAATCTACTAAAGCCTGCTCTCCATAGGTCCACACGCCTGCGTAATCGTCAATGTACCGAACCAAAAAGGACGGTTTCTGATCCAGGTTTTCCAACGCTTTGCGCTCAAAACGATCCAGAAAGAGAATGGCTATGGGAGGGGCACATGGATTGCCCATAGCGATCCCTAGTGTTTGTCGGTAAAATTTATCATCAAACCTAAATACGTTCTTGGTGAGACAATGCTGAAGGAGATGTTTAATATCATCCTGGGAGAGACCGAAAGTATCCACCTCATCCTGGTGAGCCTCTAAATTCTCCATCACCGCATCGATAGCCTCAGGGATGGGGATGCTTCCATACAAATTCACAACATCTATGCTGAAGAATATAGATCCCTCGGCGAGCCCCTGTCCCTCTGAGTGAGCTGCTAACCGCTGTAGGAAATCACTAGTGTCCCACAAGTGCGTTTCCACAAAGTTCAATAGCTGCTTAAGTATGCGTTCTAAAAGACACGATGTTTTTTCCGTAGGACCCCCACAACCAGATATAACAGGCCTGAGTGGCACTGACTCCTTGTGGTCCTTAGGGAGACCATAAAATACCGGAGTCCTGCTATGGGCCGGTGTCAGCTCCTTAATGGTGTTCTCCGGCAACTTTCCTTGTGACACAGCTTTAAAAACTCTTTTAGTCTCGGCTTCTACCTTGGGGACAGGATTTTTCTCAAGAACCTCGTAGTTTGTGGAGTCGTCTAAAATAGCAAGTGACTTGTTCACATAATCATCCCTATCCATGATCACGAAGCCCTTGCACTTATCGCTCTGCTTAAAAACTACATCATTAGACTTCTGTGCCTTTTTAAGAAAATCTAACTGCTCTCCTGTAACGTTACTTTCATGCACTATATGACATTGTTGGTTCAAAATGGGTACCCAGAGAAAGTTCTTAGAAGGCTCTTGTGGGAGGTCAAACAGCAAGGGTCCAGATCCAGGATGTGTAAAGTTAGTCGAGACAAGGGCGAAGATGGCTTCTTATGTTTACCGTACATAGATGAAGAACTGCTATGCAAAATTCAAAGTAAAGTTAGGAAATCTGGCTTAGCTGTCAGGATAGCATGGAGGAACCCCCAAAAGCTACGGAACAAACTGGTTAGATCATCTCTATCTAAACCTATCTGCCCTGGAGGCCCACGATGCAACATGTGTAAATCAGATTTTTCAGGTGATTGTACACAGAAGAACGTCGTCTACAGGCTAAATTGTAAGTTGTGTGAAGGAAAGGGTGACGACGGCACATATATTGGCGAGACAAAACGACCTGTTCGACTAAGATTTAACGAACATTTAAGAGACGCCTTGAGCGCATCCGAAGGGACCCCGATGGGAGACCACTTCCGTGAGCACCACCCCGGCGCGCCGCTAAACAAATCATCCCTTCCTCTTCAGGTTCGCGTCCTTTATCGCTCCAAAGACCACCCGGACAGAAAAATCGCAGAATCCCTACTTATAAAAGCAAACCGCCCGCACATAAACTCAAATCTTTCGTCGTGGCCGATCATGTAAGCGCCTGTATCATGTGTATCTTGTGAGCGTGTAGCCTTTGCAACTCAATCGATTAATATGTGTATGTGTATATTATTTTGTTATGTGTGTGATGTACATCGGCGTTAGTGTACATACCTTCCATACGATGTGTGTTTGACAGCTACGTGTACAATTGTATATTATGTATGTTACGTACACCGGACACTATGTAGACAATCGGTCTATCAAATAGTTTGCCCTTATGAGTAGCGCCTTTCCTAAAATATCACGATCTTCGGTTTTTGAAAAATGGCAGACAGATTAGGTATTCACAGGATCGTCTTTTAACATTGTTATCACGTTGGTTTGATAAAGGCCAGTGGCCGAAAGCTCACCGTTTTTTTTTTAATATATTATTCGGCTTTTTACATTTTTGATGTCGAGGAAAAGGTCAACTTCTTTTATTTATCTAATTATATTCAATATGTTCCTCGCTCGAGCACTTAGTAATATTTTATTAATTTTGAATAAAACTACGAGGGGCAAAGTTTTGACATTTGTCCTCCAGTTATTTCTACCCATGACAAATGAATAGAGACTAGAGTTATTTCACTCACTTTTATTAGACATCGTACAGGTGGGGGCGGCCAATTTACACCACCGGCCAAATTACCCCACTCTCCCCTACTCATCTGAAGCGTCTCGTCGCGTTCTTTCGTTTGCCGCCTAGTGCGTTTCGCTGCGCCTATCGGTTCTCGAGTTATCGGCTGGGGGCGTTTAACGCCCCCCCCCCCCCCCAACAAACGGTGGGTGGCGAAATACCCCAGCAACTGCCAGGTTAATTCCGCTGCATGTTGCTCCACTACCACCACACGGCAGTTTGTTGGTAGCTCAGTGCTCCGCCCGTCTGTGCCCACTGCACGTGTAGCTGACCACGTGTGCTGCGCCCCCACGGCCGGTGCGGCAGGCGGCCCCTTTGTGCGCCCGCCGGTGTGACGGCCTCCCTCCGGCCCGGAGCAGGCCGGTCAGCTCTGGCGTCACGGCCTGTGACGACCGTCACCGCGGCGGCAGGGGAGCGTCACGGCCCGGCGCCGCGGCCGGTGAATCGGGCCACCCGGCGCCGCCAGACGGGCGGGAGCGCGGGACAATTACCCACTGCCCACCGCCGCGGGCCCACGATACAGGCCAGTGATAGAGTCGCTGCACCAGTCACGCCGGGAGCCATCACTGCCATCAAAACCATCAACACCAGCTGCATGGTCAACCCTGGCCGTCAGCCGGCAACAGCCCGGCGTTGTTTGACGAAGACCGGCTCAATTCGGTGCCGTCAAACCCGGCGTGGTCAATAAGTCAGCGACAGCGTTGTCAGATTTCTGAATAAGATTTCAATACTCCGATCATCTCATGACTGATGACATGTTGTGAACCGAGACGCATGTAAGCCACCGCGAGGAAAAATAGGCCACACCACGGGAAGGAAACGCTCTAAGCACTGTATACCAGACGCAACTCAAGTTGGGAGCCAGTAGTTCGGTCCAGGTCTCTCTTACACCCCGAGGGCAGGACTGGGAACAGAGCCGGGCGCGGGACCCTCAGGGATCGCTCGGCCGGGGGCGTCGGGCGCGGCCAGTAGGACAGACAGCCGGCCGGCCGGCGCCCCCCACACACAGCCCATGTCACACCGCTGATGGAGTGACTACCGACTCAGCCGCCGCCCCCCCCCCCCCCCCCGGGCGCGGCCAGTAGGACAGTCAGCCGGCCGGCGCCCCCACACACCCAGCCCATGTCACACCGCTGATGGAGTGACTACCGACTCAGCCGCCGCCGCCGCCGCCCCGGGCGCGGCCAGCAGGACAGTCAGCCGGCCGGCGCCCCACACACAGCCCATGTCACACCGCTGATGGAGTGACTACCGACTCAGCCGCCGCCGCCGCCGCCCCGGGCGCGGCCAGCAGGACAGTCAGCCGGCCGGCGCCCCACACACACAGCCCATGTCACACCGCTGATGGAGTGACTACCGACTCAGCCGCCGCCCCCCCCCCCCCCGGGCGCGGCCAGTAGGACAGTCAGCCGGCCGGCGCCCCCACACACCCAGCCCATGTCACACCGCTGATGGAGTGACTACCGACTCAGCCGCCGCCGCCGCCGCCCCGGGCGCGGCCAGCAGGACAGTCAGCCGGCCGGCGCCCCACACACAGCCCATGTCACACCGCTGATGGAGTGACTACCGACTCAGCCGCCGCCGCCGCCCCGGGCGCGCTCATTACTGTTCATTAATGAAGCCTATTTAATGTCCTCCTCGTCTGCCTATTGGTGGGCAGTTGCTGAATTTAGTATCGGCCTTCTGTTCTCTGTAATTACGGTGACGATAAACAGCGGACGATGGAGAGAGGGCAGGGGCTCCGATAAACTCGTATATCGCCTCCGAGAGGGCCGTTCCATCCCTGCCCGATCCACGCCGGCCCTCACCCATTCGACCGGTCGTAACCCACTCCAAAGCACCTTCCCAACTCCTTCAAACACCCTCCCCGTGCTGAAGGAGCCCCGTCGCTGAGCGGCAGGGGGACGCCGCTAAGGTCATCCATCAAGACGGCAGCCAGGTGGGTATATCGGCCGGGCCGGGACGAGGGGCCGACTGACGTCTTTTTGTTGGCGGGCGGGCCGGCGCTGTCGGCCCCAGTGAAAGCAGGGCCGGACGGGTCGGGGTGACTTGGTGCAGTTGACGTCATGTAGAGTGGTTCACCTCGTCAATCAGAGCCGCGAGTGGAGAAGCGCCGACTTGGAGTGCTCGGAGACCGGCGGAGTTTGTGAGGGATTTTGGATCTGAATCGGAAGGAAGGAGAGTGAATGTCCGGTGCCTTATTGGTTGTGGAGGGTTCGGAGCATGCTACGGCATTTGTTGGAATGGAGTTAGGAATAAATAGCATTGTTAGCTTAAGTGTGAGTGCAAACAGAAGACCAAAAGAGACAAGACATGGCGACGTCATTTCGAAAATTTTCTTGACCTGAACTACGAAACAGCAACAGCACAACACAAGCAAGAGCCACATTTGGCCATCGATTCTACTCACTCGTGGCAGGACGTTGAAGACGAAGCTTCTAGGGTACCCTCGTCTGAAAGGTAGTGGACGGCCCTCCTCGTTCAGCCTCCACCTCGGCCCAGAGACGGCGGTCTGAGGAAACGTCCTCACCCGAGCACCGTGACCACTGGAAGCGCTCGCCGCCGACGCCAGTCCCACTATCTCCTCCAGTTCCGGACCCTCGGACAGTAGAGGCGATGGCACAGCGCGCTAGGCGGCAAAATCGCCCCTAGGCGCAACTCCGCAACAAGAGGACACTGACGCACGAGTCGGTCGCTGCGCGGGGACCACATCCTGGGCCGCTATCTGCAGCGGAGGGCTGAAAACATGTCAGCCCGGCCGGACGGCGCCTCGGCCCCGCACCAGTGTCTCCCGGGCAGACACACTGAAAAACAATTGAACACCGTTAACTGGGTAAGTGGTTATTCTGCATACCGGAGTTTTTATATACCCAATAATGGGTGTTCAGGGAGCGTTTGACACCTTTAACCGTGTATGACGGGCTTCATGACACTGTAATAAGTGTCACAGTACACATTAAAAAGTGTCTGACACTCATCATACACTGCAAAAACACCCCACCCCGTTTTTAAATTTTATTAGTGCAATATACGATAATAATAAACAATGTTTCATGGCTGCGACAACTGAGCTACATGCAAAACAGCTATCGCAACGCGACCCAAATCATAGCCACATGAGACTCAAGAAAGGCACGAAAACTCGCCAATTAGGAACTCAAATGCTTTCATTTTGACCGCCTATATCACAGAACGGATATTACACACAGGACGGCCGGAACAGCCAAATGTGGTGAGGGAAACGACCAAGGAAACCGCCGTCTCCGGGATGCACTCAGATAGATCTCTAACGATTTGAATGAAATCGTTCCTTTCAAAGACTGAGTCAAGCTTTGAAGTTACACTGAAAAAAAATAATGCCCGTGGGGAATTTTTGGGGTATCGGACACCGTTATGACACCTGTGAGGGTGTACGTTCTGCTAACATATATCTCAAAGATCTTTATATAACTCCTAATAAACATTCTTAGGGTGTATTTGGAGTGTCAGATACCCCAAAAACACCAATGCCAAGTGTCAACTTCATTATTAAAGGGAGTTTGTGAGGCGTACAAAACTAAGCCAACACCTTTAAGAGTGTCAGTTTGATATTAGACACCTACATAATGCCAGCATTACTCCCCACAATAATTTTACAGGTATCTGGAAGGTGTAGAAATGTGGGCGGCAGCCCAGCTGGGCGGCCCGTCTGCTGGGCGGCTGCCGCCGGTGCCGCCCGAGCGGGTTCCCGGCCGCCCGGGCCGCCCTGGTGACGCTGCGTGGTCGGCCAATGGCTGTGTGTGTGGTGGTGGCGTGACCCGGTTGAGGTCGAGCCGACGGCCAATCGGTGGTCGCCACGTGCCGGTGGCGTGACCCGTCGGGATCGTGTGCGGTGCGATCGGTGAGGCGCGGCAGTCGTGGAGGTGCGGGCTTGCCGGCCGGCCCGGATCCACGTGTGAGCTGTGAATGGTGACTGGCCGAATACAGGATAAATGGACTCTGTTGGTGTTCTCCAGCAGAGACTACAGTGGTGACAGCGGTGAGTTGAATCCAGTGTTGCCTTTGAACGTTCCATTGGCTGTGTAGCTACTGACCCAAACCAAGGGTAAAGTAGCTGATTGGGGCTGACTGCTCGGTCGACGCTAACGATCGGTCCCGATACTGCTCACCCTGCTGGACTTCTGGCCCTGCTGCCGCTGCCCTGTCGGCTGCTGCTGCCGCTGCCCTGTCGGCTGCTGCTGCCGCTGCCCTGTCGGCTGCTGCTGCCGCTGCCCTGTCGGCTGCTGCTGCCGCTGCCCTGTCGGCTGCTGCTGCCGCTGCCCTGTCGGCTGCTGCTGCCGCTGCCCTGTCGGCTGCTGCTGCCGCTGCCCTGTCGGCTGCTGCTGCCGCTGCCCTGTCGGCTGCTGCTGCCGCTGCCCTGTCGGCTGCTGCTGCCGCTGCCCTGTCGGCTGCTGCTGCCGCTGCCCTGTCGGCCGCTGCTGCCGCTGCCCTGTCGGCCGCTGCTGCCGCTGCCCTGTCGGCCGCTGCTGCCGCTGCCCTGTCGGCCGCTGCTGCCGCTGCCCTGTCGGCCGCTGCTGCCGCTGCCCTGTCGGCCGCTGCTGCCGCTGCCCTGTCGGCCGCTGCTGCCGCTGCCCTGTCGGCTGCTGCTGCCGCTGCCCTGTCGGCTGCTGCTGCCGCTGCCCTGTCGGCTGCTGCTGCCGCTGCCCTGTCGGCTGCTGCTGCCGCTGCCCTGTCGGCTGCTGCTGCCGCTGCTCTGTCGGCTGCTGCTGCCGCTGCTCTGTCGGCTGCTGCCGCTGGTGCGCTGAACCTGCCCTCTCAACCAGACTTCACTCACTTCTAATGAGCTAAGTACTGTTCTGTGGTGTCGTGTATTGTTTGGCTTTGTGTGTGTGTGTGTTTTTTTTTCGTAGTGCATTAGAGTCAGAACAATGCCTGACGACGTGAAACCGGCTACGTCTGCTCGTGGGGCCACCGGGTTTTCAATGAAAGCGCCAGATTTCTCTGGGGAGGGCTCCTTTTCCCGTTTTTCGGCTGACTTGGAGACATTCTTCACATTGCATGCTTTCGATGATGCCCTCAAACTGAGGTTTCTTCCCCTGTGTTTAACGGGGGTGGCCCGGGATGCCTTTGAGGCACTTCCGGCTGACAGTCGGGACACCTACGCTCAGGCAATGCGGGGCCTTTCGGAGAGTTTCAGAAGGCCCTGCGCGTTGGATGCTCATGCTAAGTTGCGCTGCTTACAGTTCGATACTTCTACGTCACTGGATGCATTCGTTATCCAATTTAAGCGTTTGATAAGCGAGGCATTTCCCGGACCCCTCAGTGATCAGGTACTGTTCCATACCTTCCTTCCAACACTTCCTGCAAAGTTCCAAGAACATATCATCGCCCAGGGGATCGGGACCTTTGAGGAAACTGTACAGCGGGTGAGAAACCTCATCCAGAGTGAGAGATTTCAGCAGCCTGTTCGTCAGGTCTCCGCCGCACCGAGGCAAGGTCAGGAGGACGGTAAGTCGAGGCCAGACATGCTCGAACAGATCATGGCACGTATCGAGGCTATCGAGCAGCGCATGACTGAGGAGCGCAGGTGGAGGAGTCGGGGTGGAGCTGGTGCGGGGGGCGGTGCTGTCGGCCGCCGAGGTAACCCTGCATCGGAGCCTCGGTCCTGCTTCTGCTGTGGGGATACTGATCACCTCAGGGCAAGCTGTCCCGCACGTGACGGCTTCTGTGCCCGATGTGGTCGACGGGGGCACACTGTCGCGGTGTGTTGGTCTCGGGGAAACGGGCGAGGGGTCGCCGAGCCAGGCAGCGTCGACCGGCGACCCCAGTAGTTGCGGAGGTGAAAGATGCTGCTGGAGGTGATCCTGCTGTGCCAGGTGTGCGTCCGTCTCCGGATGTCTCTGGCGCCACGTCTGGCCTTCATGGGAGCACTGGAGAGGCTGCTGAGACCTCAACCACTAGTGCCCCTGCCCCTGGTTGTGGTCCATCTGACTGTCACACCGGTGATGTCAGTGAGAGTGTCTTGTTGAGTGATGACATGACGTTTCAGGGTTGTATCGCGGACACTGTTTGCTCTTTTCTGCTTGACACTGGCTCCTCAATGAGCATCATTAATCGTTCAGTCTATGATAAATTGTCCGGCATTCCATTGCAACCCACGTCAACTAAAGCAAAAACAGCCTCTCAGTCTGACTTACCTTTGCTCGGTAGAATTGCTGCTCCGTTGCGTGTGGCTAAACAGACTCACGTGATTCACCTCTACGTCTCTGAAGCCATTGATGTTCCATGTATATTGGGGCTCGACTTTCTCAGTGCTGTCCCTTGTGTGATCGACCTGTCTGCTAGACGTTTGGTCCTGGTGTCTGGTGGAAATGTCCGGTCAGTCTCTGTTGACCGCACAACGGTGGGTAGCGCTGTGCTGGGGTGCGATGTTTCCCTTCCTGCCGGTGCAGAGTGTTTTGTGCAAGGCCATGTGCATAACTGCCATTACAGGGGTGATGGGATAGTGGAACCCACCTTGGATGTCCCCGGTTTGCAGGTGGTTAGATGCGTTGTGAAGGTTGATGACGGGTCTGTGCCCTTGTTGATCCGTAACATAACGACGGAGAGCATTACCTTACCCAAACATTCCCAGGTGGCTGAGGTTGAGGTGAGTTTTGTAGAAGAGGATCTCCCAAAACCTGAGGATTTGTCACCTGATTTGGAGTCTTTGATTGATTTGTCTGATTCTGATGTGTCAGGTGACCAGCGACGTGCACTGGTGTCCGTGCTGATGAAGCACCAGTCGATGTTTGACGGTCATATCGGACACACTGATGTGGTGGAACACACGATTGACACAGGGGACAGCCCACCGGTGCGCCAACGACCGAGGCGCATTCCCCCTCACTTGACACAGCAGGTGCGGGAGGAGCTGGACAAGCTGGTGAGTCAGGGGATCCTAGAGGAATCTGACAGTGGCTGGTCATCACCCATCTGCTTGGTTAGGAAGAAATCTGGGGAGCTGCGAATCTGTGCTGATATGCGCCGGCTTAATTCGATCACCCGGCTGCCCGCTTACCCCATCCCCCGGATTGACGACACACTTGACGCCTTGTCAGGATCATCTCTGTTTTGTGTCCTCGACATGAATGCCGCTTACCATCAGATCTCCATCGATCCGCAGGATAGAGATAAGGCCACTATCACTACTCCTTTGGGAAATTTCAGATACCGTCGCATGTGTTTTGGCCTCAATTCCGCGCCCTTCACCTGCTGCAAGTTGTTGGATATTGTGCTGAAGGATGTTCCTCGGAGTTGCTGTGTGCATTACTTCGATGATATCATTGTGCATGGGGATTCGTATGATGATGTCCTGGCAGCCCTGGATGATGTACTTTTCAGACTTCGGCAGGCGGGGCTGACGTTGAATTTGGCCAAGTGTGAATTCTTCAAACCCCAAGTCACTTTTCTTGGCCACGTTATTTCCAGGAGAGGCATGTCCACTGATCCGGAGAAGGTGGCGAAGGTGAGGAACTGGCCCATCCCCCGGACAAGGAAAGAGCTCTCGAGCTTCCTTGGACTTTGCTCATATTTCCGGAAATATGTGCAAAATTTTGCTTG